TTATTATATGCACTTACTTAAAAAAATTAAAAGAAATTAAACTTAATTAAAAGAAGGCCTATCAAACATAAACAAAAAAAAAGACAAAATAGTTAAAACGTTGTGTCCGCTGGGCCAATTCTCTAAACTCAAATCCTTTCTTAAATTTATCTGTAGGTGTGGTCATACGGAACACAACTTCTCAATATTGATAGGAGTTTCGTAGTTTGCTTAGTACGTGGAAGTGGAAACCTTCAAGTTTCAAAGGTGGGTGCTCAGTGCTTCTTCTTAACTGTGATTTTCTTCTGTTAATTAATTTTTGTGTAACCCAAATTGGCATAAACTATGGAACTAAACTTGAGTCTGTTATTATAATCCAAACCTCTAATTTTTATTTTTTGTTTTTTGTTTTTCAGAAAAATCCCTTTTGAGGCATTTGTTTGATTGTGTTCAAGGTTGGCTGATTTTATGCAGTGGTTGGCTTTATTTGATGAGAGAAAATTGCGGGGATGTTTGTTTGTCTCAATTGGCTCTATTTTCTTTGTTGGGTATTTCTTTGTTGCTGTTATTTCCAAGCTTCTCCCACCTTCAAACATTGCCCTCATTTCTGCGTTACAAAATGACTGGTAATTAATTAATTAATTAGTCCTGATATTGAGATGTGATTCTATAGGTTTTTACTTTCATGTCAATGGTTTTTCAGCATAATTGTCGATTTTGGGGAGGGCATAACTTAGGGTGTAGAATGTAAGGGCTTGAAATTGCAATATGTTCTGTCATGGGTTTTTGTATAAATTGTTTTGTGTCATGTGATGATGATAATGGGTATGTTACTGTGTTTCATGAACATGTCATTCATGCTTGTTTGATGATGATAATGGGTGTGTTACTGTGTTTCATGAAAATCTTATTCGTGCCACACACTGAGAGGTTACAATGTGTTCATTCAAGACAAGATATGATTTGGTTAGTTTGGATTCTTTGGAACATGGTACGATTTTTCTGCTTACTCGATTACGCAAATTAAACTAGGTTGTGTTCTTCACATGTTGTGTATCTGTAAAGTTTTGAGGTTTGCTCCATGTTTGTGTCTGCTTGTCTTGTAGATCTCTAAGGGTAGAAACGAAGTTTATTTTTAGGTATATTTGAAAATCAAAAATGAGACTATGGCTAATAGATTATAAAAGGATATAAACAAATCAACAACTGAATTTCCAAGAGAACTCTCCTGATCTGTTCTCAACATTCACTTTATTGAAGGTGTCAATTAGGTGGCACCACATTATACTCCTTCCAGTATTAGGGGTTTTATTTGTGTACAGAACTGTAAACTATCTGCAAATCTTGATTAAATCAAACATCTTCAAGAAGAATGATAGTGCTGGTTATCTGTAGCCATAGCCTCTGAATTTCTCCAACATCAAATTATCCTGATCGATAGCATTAACATCTATAGTAACGAAAGATTCCATACTCTATTGTAGCCTAGACTAAACAACTTGGACCTCCTCACATCCTTCAGACAATGATTTTGTAGAAAATAACTCTCTTGGTGATGCTTTAGGAAATAATGTTAGGGAAATGGTTTTTGATAGAAGAACCAACGAACATGTTGGAGATCAAGACGAGGGAGGTGATTTTTGATAAGTACTTAATCAGGTACCATTTGTCTCTTGGTCCAACATGATGGTTATCCTAGCTTCCTTAGTGATTCTTTCTTTTGGACATGGGTCATAAACTTCAGCAAAGATAAAATATCAAGAGGCAAGAAGGAAACAATCCCATGTTGATTATTATTCATGAAAAAGGAGCCAAATATATACAGGCAACAAGAATGAGAAAAAGGAAGGGAGGTTACAGAGAGAGAAAAACAATACAATCATAAGATGAGGTGGCAGAGCAAAATAACATAAAAGATTCTAACTAAATAACACGTGCTACATGGCTGCCAGCAAGCCATTATTCCAGAACTTTTACCCATTATCATCATTTGTCTTTATCTTCTCTAGCCTATTTGAATTGTAACAGGCCCCTCAAGTTGGGAATGGATGTCATACATTCCTCGCTTGCCGTAAGAAACTTTGAAAACATGAGGATGAAGAGCTTTCGTGAATATGTCTGCAAGTTGCATTGAAGAAGAAACCGGGAGAAGATTGAGAACTCCAAGATTAACCTTTTCTCTAACAACATGGCAATCTATCTCAATATGCTTCGTTCTCTCGTGAAAAACCTGATTACAAGCTATTTGAATGGCAGAATCATTATCACAAAACAATAATGCAGGCTTTTTGTAAGAAACTTTGAAATCATCAAGCAAATAAGAAAGCCATTGAATCTCGCATGTAGTTGATGCAAGAGCCTGGTACTCAGCCTCAGATGAACTACGTGAGACCATTGCTTGTTTCTTTGACTTCCAAGAAATCAAAGAATCACCCAAATAGACAGAAAAACTAGTAACAGATCGTCTTGTCTCAGGGCAACCTGCCCAATCTGAATCACTAAAGCCTTTTAGTTGTAAAGCACTTGAGGAAGAAAAGAAAATTCCAACACCCAGAGATTGCTTTAAATATCTTAAAACACGAAAAGCAGCCCTGTAATGAAGATCAGTGGGGGAGGAAACAAATTGACTTAGATTTTGAACAGCATAGGTGATGTCTGGACGAGTGGAAGTAAGATAAATTAGTCTTCCAATCAACCTTCTATAAGGAGAAGGATCTGCAAGTGGAGTGTCTGTGTCTGAAGTCAGTTTGGTCGTATAGTCAGTTGGAGTGGAGGTAAGAGCACAAGCTAACATTCCAACATCTGCTAACACATCAAGAACATATTTTCATTGAGAAAGATGAATACCATCAAGCGAACGAGCCACTTCGAGACCAAGAAAATATTTGAGATTACCCAGATTTTTGACTTTGAAGGCTTGATCTAAAAGGAGGGTGATATGGGAAATTTCTGACAAGTCATTTCTAGAGAGAATGATGTCGTCCACGTAAATGAGAAGAGCTGTGATGGAAGTACCCGTGAATTTCAAAAATAAAGAATGATCTGCTTGAGAGTGATGATAACCATGAAGAAGAAGGAAGCTAGATAATCGGGCATACCACTGGCGGCTTGCCTGCTTAAGACCGTATAGAGAGCATTTTAAAAGGCAAACTTGATCATGTTGGGCTAAAAGACCTTGTGGTACATGCATGTAGACTTCTTCATTGAGTTCCCCATGCAAAAAGGCGTTATTGACATCAAGTTGCTTAAGATGCCAATTGAAAATAGATGCCAAAGCAAGCAACATTCTTACAGTAGTTATCTTAGCAACAGGGGAAAACGTGTCTAGAAAATCAAGACCCTCAAGTTGATTGTATCCCTTGGCAACTAAACGGGCCTTATACCTCTCAATAGTTCCATCAGCATTATATTTAACCTTGTAAACCCATCTACATCCAATAGCAACCTTGCCAGGGGGTAACTTAGTTAAGGTCCAGGTGTTGTTCATCTCAAGAGCAGCAAGTTCTTCCCTCATAGCCTTAACCCAACAGTCAGATTTGGAAGCCTCAATATATGAGTGTGGTTCAGTGATCATAGTGATGGAACAAATAAAATGTCAAAAGGAATGTGAAAGACGATTATAAGATAGAAAAGAGTGGAGAGGATACCTGACATTGAAAGAAGTTGGCATAGATGTAGCAATATTGCAATGGAAATCTCTTAAATAGTTTGGTGGCAAACGGGTCCGAGATGAGCATCTTAAATGGATTGACTGAGGAGAATTAGTGATAGGTGGAGACTCACGAGAGGAGATAGGGATATCTAAAAATGAATCTGAATGGGAATTGGTATCATGTGGCTCAGGGGTGTTTGACCGAGACATAATAGGTTGAGTGTTGTTGGGACAAGGCTGAGTACAGTCAAAAGAGAATTCTGGTGATTTTGCAGGGCTGACGAACAGAGATTTGGCATGAACAGTGGCTTGTTCTGCTGTAGGAGTAAAGCATATAGGCTGGTTATGAAAAGAAGTCTTGGCTATAGGGTGACTAGTGGACAAAGAAATTTCATTGTCTTTATTTTGAGCTTTTCGAATGAAGGGAAAATGGTTTTCATAAAATAACACATTCCTGCTAACATCAATGGAGTTATTTTTTATATTGTATAATAGGGAACCTTTTGTGTGATCTTTGAGACCAATGAATACACATGGGTCAGCTCGGGCATCTAACTATTTACGGTTGGCAGATAAAGTATTTTCAAAACAAAGACAACCGAAAACTTTAAATGAAGAAATATCACAATCTTTATTATCTAACTTTGTGTAAGGTGATATTTCATGCAAAATGGGAGTAGGAATGCAATTTATAAGTGTGACTGCATGTTGAATGGCAAAACATCAAAATGAAGGTGGTAACCCACTATGAAACAATAGAGCACGAGTAACATTCAGAATATGTTGATGTTTTCTCTCCACAATCCCATTTTGCTCTGGAGTTTCAACACAGCTAGTTTGGTGAATAATTCCTTTCTCTTGAAAGAAATTATTCATCAAAAATTTGGCACCATTATCACTTCGTATAATTTTAACCTTAGTATCAAATTGCCTTTCAACATGAGCAATGAAATTGATTATGTTTTTCCTTGTTTCAGCTTTACTACTCATTAGATTAACCCAAATATATCGTGTAAAATCATCCACGATGGTAAAAAAGAAATGATGTTCGAACATGGAAGTCACAGAACAGGGTCCCCATATATCAATATGAATCAATTCAAAAGCCTTTGATGTTTTAGAAATGCTTAAGGGAAAAGTGAGTCTTTTCTGTTTTGAAAAATGACAACTACTGCATGTGAATTCTTTATTGAAAGCGATGAAAGGATACTATTTTATCATGGACTCAAGCCGTTTACATGAAGGATGTCCTAAACAAAAATGCCATAGATCTATAGGTATAATGCTAAAATTAGGATGAGTAACAGTAGAATAGGAAGGTGGATTGGTGACAGGTCTGGCATTCAAAATATATAATCCATTGCTCATCTCAACTATACCAATCTTCTTCAATGTGTTCAAGTCCTATATAAAGCAAGAATTAGGGAGAAAAGTTAATATGCAGTGAAGAGATGAAACTAATTTGGAAATGGAGATTAAGTTGAAGGTAAAATTTGGTATGTACAAAACATTAGATAAAACAAATTGATCACTGAATTTAATTACACCCGAATGTGTGGCATAAACATGATCACCATTTGGAAGTTTAACAGCAATGGGTTTAATGAGAGAATATGTGAAAAAATGGGAAAGAGAAGAGGATATATGATCTGTAGCACCTGAGTCTAATACCCAAAATGCCTTTGTGTGATGAGTGTTGATGTTAAGAAGAACGAGATTACCATTGGAAGGCTGAACAGATGTGGACATAGAGGAGCTTATTTGATTGATTTGTGGTGAACTCGAGCCACCAAATTGAGACTGTTGCATTAAGGCTATCAAGGAATGATATTGCTGGGCTGTGAGACGAAACTCCTGTTCCTCACCTTTCTGAGTCTGATCAGAGTCTTTCTTTCCTTCTTCAGTCAATGTGCTATTGACATTGGGGTGTCCATTCTTGGCTTGCGTTTTAACACCAGGTGGAAAACTATGTTTTCTATAGCATGAATCAATAGTATGACCACTCCTTCCACAGTGAGAGCAAGTTTTGTTTCCTTTTCCATAGTTGGATTTATTTCCCTTGGATTCAGAGAAACCGTGCTTCTTAAAACATGAACTCTCATTGTTTCCAACCTTTCCACAGAAAGTGCATGTAGGTCTACCTTCAATAGAGATGTTTCCAGCAAAATTCCTTCCTTGCGATTGTCGTTCCTGTTTAACCACATAAGAGAAAATTTTAGTGATTTGAGGAATTGGATCCATGAGAAGAATATGAGATTGAACGTTGTTATCTTGATCATTTAGGCCACGGAGGAATTGCATAGCCTGATCTTCTATCCTTCGTTGAGTGATACTAGGAACCACGTCGCAACAACATTTAGTTGGGCATTTGCAAACCAACTCAGGTCTGTAATTTTCCAATTCGTCCCAGATTATGCGAAGCTTAGTGAAATACTCAGTTACAGAGAGGTCTCCTTGCTTGATGGAAGAAGCTTCGTGTTGTAGTTCTGAAACTTGAAGGAGGTCGCCTTGCGCATATCGTGACTTCAAGTTGCGCCAAATGTCTTCTGCCTTGTTCATCCATACGATGCTTTGTCTTATTGGGAGAGAAACAGAGTTTACAATCCATAAAGCTACCATGTTATTGCATCGCTTCCATGAACCATGAAACCTATCATCAAGAGGTGGTTCTGAAGCACTTCCATCTATGAATTCTAATTTATTTTTGGCACTGAGTGCTGTTTCCATGGACTTGCTCCATGTATGATAATTACTAAGCTCGAGGAGAGGTGATACGAGAGGTGAAGCGAGATTTTCACTGGGATGTAAATAAAGATAGCTATGAACATCACCATAAACTTCAGCAAAGATAAAATATCAAGAGGCAAGAAGGAAACAATCCCATGTTGATTATTATTCATGAAAAAGGAGCCAAATATATACAGGCAGCAAGAATGAGAAAAAGGAAGGGACGTTATAGAGAGAGAAAAATAATACAATCAAAAGATGAGGTGGTAGAGCAAAATAACAGAAAAGATTCTAACTAAATAACACGTGCTACATGGCTGCCAGCAAGCCATTATTCCAGAACTTTTACCCATTATCATCATTTGTCTTTATCTTCTCTAGCCTATTTGAATTGTAACAATGGGATCCTCCAAATTTAGGTCTGGATTTATGTAATTGCTAAATGCATAATTTGAGTTAGTGCCTTAAGTTTTCCACCATCAAAACATCATCACCCTTTTCTGGACTCTTCTAAAATAAGAAAAATAAATTTATTGTGTGTGTTGTGATTATGTTGCAACTAATAAATTCACCATTGGAACAAATAAAAAATATTTTGTTGATGGTATAATTTCTTGATAAGCAATTGTTGTTATCTTTGTAATTACTATTACCTCTCCCAAAATGACAAAGGAAAACTCATTATTTTCCTGTTTTTCTTTTGATAATTATAATAGGTACTATTGCCTCTTGGTGCCATTGACTCTCCCTATAATTTTGGTCGCTGTGTACTTTCATTGGCTCAACATGAAGTTGTTCAAGCATGCTTAGCTTAACTTTGCCAGATTTTGAGGGCAGAAAGACCTGTATGCTGTTGGAGAACACCTATGTCAATTGCTTCTTTGGTATAGTCATGCAGGACCTGCACTCCTTTAATCACCTCAAAAAGCAGACTTAGGATTGTTGTTTGTGCACATTGTCATCAACTCTTTCTTTGGAGAGTTATGTGTATCATTCAGTCCTTCTAGCAGCATAAATTGCTTTGGAGGCTCATTAGGTTTATCGTTTTGTACTTTTTGATGTAGTTCACCTTGATGAATGATGAGTCAATTTCCATCTTCTAGTGACTAGTATTAAGTTCATTCTCTTAATTTCTATATTTGAGGTTTTTATTTTGGATGGCCGTGACTTGTTAAAATCTTAAAACGGTTGAACTAGCAAAAACTGGTTTTGAATGACTGTAAAGAAAAGTTTCGAACACAATAAAGAAAAGGGCTATGATAAATTATTTTATGATCAAAGACTTTTCAATAACTCAAATATTGAAATAAATGCACGATACTTTTATTTGAAGGCATCGATGTGTTATATAAACTAAACAAACAACAAACAGTTGCTTATTTGCTTAAACTGAACTTTCAACTTTCAATAACCAAATGTTAATTTATTTAACCTGGTTAATATAACTAATTAATTAATTAGGAAATGGGTTAGTACAAACATTTAACCGTATATTAAAAATAATTATTATTTTATTAAAATAATTATTATTATTTTATTAAATGGGTTAGTACAAACAATTAACCGTAAATTAAAAATAATTATTATTTTATTTAACATGCATGTTATCGATGCACTCTAAATTCTTAGATAATTGTAAATGCTAAGACACAACTTAAGTGAAAAATTTCTTAATCGTTCAATAATGACTTTATTTTTCCGGAAAGTTATTATCCTGGTCAAAGAATGTTTCATCACATAATTAAAAGATAATATGTAAAAGTTATTAGTTAACATAGTTCAATACTTGTTCTTATTAACCAAATTTCAGAGTTCAAACTTTGTTCTATGTATGGAGTTGTGTCTGAAGACACAATTTTATTTCTATAGAGGTTAATTCTGTAAAAAATAATTATACCTCATTTTCAAATATAAAAAAATATGCAACAAATTTAAACTAGTGATTTCAATGATTGTGTTGTATAAATTGAATTAACCACTAAATTATATTATTTTGACTCGATATGTAATTTAATTTACCAACACTTATTTTAATTTAATTTGATTGAAGTTCAAATTAACTTTTTGTAGGTCCAATAGAACTAGATATTGAATTGAAGAGTGTTCGGGATACATTCCAACATTCTTTCTAACTCATTGTCTACTATTGATTAAAATTTATTTGAAACTACAAATTAGAGAGTGAAAACTCATTAAATAAGTACAACTAAAATTAATATATATCTAATAAATTTTAATTAATAATAAAATTATGTCCTTGGTTTTTCTTATTAGAATAATCATGAAACACCAATGATGAATGGACACTACAGGTACTAACAATTCAAATGTAAATAAAAATAGTCGTATAAGTCACACATAAAGGACCCTTATATATTGTCAAACATAAAGCTAATTATTCAACCAAAGTGGAAAACACTCTGATTTTGTATCCATAAATGAGTTGTTGATTTATCATTCAATCAAATGAAGATAAGAGGATCCTACTACTACGAAAAGTTATGAACCAATTTATCAAGGTTAACTTACAAACCAGATCAATAAAGAACATAGGCCAATATGTTCAAAGAAAATAAATATAAAAATCTCAACAATGACAAATGATGATTGCCTTCAAAGCAAGAAGCTAAAGGTTGTGGGGTTACTATGTAAAGTCATAACTTAGTTCTTGCTTCTTATCTATAATAATCTATGTTCTAGGCCTTTAGTGCTCATGCTTTAAAGAACTCAAATAGCAGCCTTGTCTCAATTACATATCACATATGGGTAAAAGGCTATGGTTCTGCTTTCACAGTTTTGTACGAGTTCAACATCAAAAACATCAAAGTGTTTTAGCTGAAAAAGGTTGAGGATCTTACCTGCAGAACCGGAAACCATCATGCATGCTACCCAGGAGAGCTTTTTATTTTGAATAATTAGATACAACCGCCAATTCGATCGAAACTAGTGTTCAAATTGGAACAATTTTTGTTCTAAGTAGTTGAGATATCAAACTGGTCAATTTTCACATAAAATTGGTAAATAAATATGGGTTTCCAAATTATTTATAAAAAAAATACAACGTCATTTGTTCTCTGTAAACTTGCTTTTGAATTGTTAATAATTTGGACATAAGTTTTGAATGTTGATATTATTTATATTTTGATTTTTGAACTTATTTTGTGGAGTTTTTTCATTAACTTTAGTTTAATTGTTTGTGAATTTTGTTATTATGGATTTGACATTTATGAACTTTATGGAATTGTGTTATGGACTCATGATATTAAATTTCAAGTTTAGTATGTGATATTTGTTATTTAGTAAAGAAATTGTGATGGTAGTGTGATGATTTATTCAGCCAATATGGTTATATATATTTACATCTCATGATTTTTATAATTAGGCTAAACAGATTCCTATGGATTTCTTTAGTTTCTCCTATAATCATGATACAACAGATCACCACGGGATTTGATTACAATCCCACTATTTTAGGTGGTGCAAACATATTTTTATCGAAAAAGAAACAATATATTTAATATATTTACAATGATATTGTTAGCAATCAGACCACAACCCATTTGGCTAATGCAAGGCCCAAAAGGATTACTACCGCACTAGCCCATCTGAAGGATTACATCCCATAGAGCTCACTATGTCAGCATGTTTCTAGAAGTGCCTAGTCACTATATTTCCTTGCATAGAATAAGTTAGAATTGGTAGATTGTTATTTTCATAGATTCTTTTGCCTACAAATTCGGAGGACCCTCTGATTGTAACTAATTCTGATTTGAATGTTTTTGTAAAGGCTATATATAGCCTTTCGAAGGAATGAAAATGCAGGCTTGAAATCAAATATCTATTTCCTTTCTCCTATCAATTCTCAGGGGTTCCCTTAGCCATCAATTAAGGAAGAAACACCTAACAAATATTGTATTACCCTCTCCCCCTCAAGTTGGTGCATGAAGATTCTAAGTGCCCAACTTGGTAAGGAAAGAAGAGAATAGTGCACATCCTAATGCCTTGGTGAATATATCTGTGAGTTGAGAGCGTGTGGAAACATAAGAAGCCAACAAGGTCCCTTTGATAATCTCATCATCACGAACAAAATGGCAATCAACTTCAATATGCTTTGTACATTCATGAAATATGGGATTCTTGGCAATGTGAAGAGCAACTTGGCTATCACATTTTAGATGCATAGGCATGGAATGATATATGCCAAGACTCAATAGTATAATTTTGACCCACTTTAGTTCACAAGTGGTGGCAGCCATGGAGCGATACTCAGCCTCAGTAGAAGAACGAGATACAATTTTTTGCTTTTTAGTTTTCCAAGAGATAGGGGAATGACCTAAGAGAACAATCCATCCAGTAAGGGACTGTCTAGTTAGAGGGCAAGCAGCCCAATCTGCATCACACTACCTGGTCAGTCATTGATCACAAGTACTATCCAACAAAATTCCCTGCCCCAGGGTGCCTTTGAGGTAGCAAGAATGTGTACACAATATGATAGTTCCGGCCTTGAAAAACAAAAATGTATGAGACGACCAACTAATCATCGATACTTATTCAGGGAAGTAAGACATGGTCCCTTGGAAAGACCAAGATGATGATTTTGTTCCATCGGAGTAGTCACAGGTTTTGCACCAAGGAGTCCTGCCTCAATGATGATATCTAATGCATATTTCCTTTGACAAAGAAATAGCCCCCATTGTGATCATGCAACTTCAACACCTAGAAAGTATTTTAACTTACCTAAATCTTTCATATGGAAGCATTGGCTTAGATAAGATTTAAATCGTTGAATTGTGGTAGAATCATTACCTCCAACAATTAAGTCATCAACATAGACTAACACAATAAGGTGCACCTGTTTGTGAAACAAAGTGAAAAGGGAGTAATCTAAGTAGGATTACTAGAACTCGTACCTCTTTAAAGCTAAAGAGAGCTTGGCGAACCAGCAGTGCGGAGCTTGTTTTAAATCGTACAATGATTTCTACAGTTTACACACCATACCA